ATCTCTCCCACTGGGGAGAGATGTATAATGAGTGAAATGACTAGAATAGCAGCAATCTATCAAGTGTGACTAATCAGCTCAACCTAACAATCCCCAATAGGAAATTTCTGAATAGACTAACACAAACATCCATTTAAAGCATATTCTTGTTTTTAATTAAAGTTAACACTCAGTTAATTAGATCCACAAATTTTAGAAACAGTGGTAGTGGAACAATGAGAACAGCCAGGAACAAGAGAGTAACAGGGAATTTAGAACTTTGAAGACACCAATTAGAAGGAAGATCTGAAAATACTCCATCTCTTGAGAGATAGATTGGAGAGAGCAGTGGGCCATTGTGGTGATTCTGCTGATGTGGATCCACTGTGGGACACTGGGCATGTTGGAAAGTAGAAGTCCAGAGTCTGTGTTGTCCACCTCCAGACTTCTGGCTCTGTGGGAGTTGTAAAGGGATCATAAATGGTATTTCCTTCCTGTTTCCTCCAGTAGTCCAAATGATTCCCAGTTTGTTCTAATGTTTACTTGAGGAGCATTTTTTTCACTTCCCATTTTTCAGTGGCAGTATGTGATACAGCTGTGATCTGTAGAATGACAAGACAGTTATTTACATATCTGCTTGCTTGCTTGCTTAGAATGAGGGGAAATACTGACATTACATTACTCAGAAATATGGCTCTTCATATCTCCAGGGGAAACTGGTTTGTTAGGGAAAGCTTATCCTTTTCCTAAAAAGGAAGAATAATATGAAAGGCCAAGCACAAGAGACTACCTGAAAAAGTATATAAAATTTTGCAGCTGTCCTAACTGAGTCATTATTCAAAGTTAGTATAAGAACTTCCGTAATTTCATTTCAGAAGTGAAACATGTTTAGGAGTAACTCTAATAAAACAATTAATTTTCTTTGTGTTAGAGTGAAGACATAGATTTTTTGAGAAAAGAGATTGAACAAGGAGAAAAAGACCTAGAGACAATGAAAACCTTTCACGCCAAGTGTCTGATGATGGATTGCTATAATGGAGAAAATGATCCAGAGAATAAGTATGTCCTCATACTGTTTATTATGTTGATAAAAGATAGGAGCTATCTGTTACATTTCTCCTTTTTTGTTGTCTTGCATTTTTAACCTATGACATTCGCTTTTAAAATAACAGTTTTGTTTTTTTTTTAAATAGTTACAGGTAACAGAAAAGAAAAATCTGGGAAAATGCGCTGATACTGTTATGCCTGAAACAAAATAATTTCAAATATCTCAGTGGTCTCAAATTATTATGAATGATTAGATCAAAAACAATCAAAGCAAATTAGGAATAATTAAAGCAAATATTTCTGTCTCCAGCACATGGTAAAGTTTGCTCCCTCTGACCTGGAGGATTAATGAAAAATTCTTGTTCTGTAGGTAGAGATGGCTTGGTACTTCATGACTAAATTGCCACTCACGGGAATATGCTGATTGAAACATAAATTACATAGAAATTAATTTCTTTAAAAGATTACAAACACCATGAATGAAATTCAACTTACTTCTTTTCACATTTTTTGTTTTACAACTTGTGTCTTTTCATTGCATATTTATCCTTGCTTTTTATCAAAAGACAAGTAATCTCATTACTAAGTATAGTTTCATGTTCATCATCAGTTGAAAAACATGTTGAAAATCTTATGGTGCCAAGAATGACTGTTGAAAGAAAGGTTGTTCCACAGCACACCGAAGGCAGACTCCTGAGCCCCTGTGGAAAAGTTCTTGGCATGTCTGATCATACTGGGTTTCTGTTTGAGGAACAAACACAGACCTGACTTCAGACATGAAGTTACTTGTAATCTCCATAAGAACACAGCCTTAATAAAAAAATAGCTTGCTTGGTGCCTTATTTGTCTGTGCAGTAATAGTTCAAAAGCAAAAAAATATATTTAAAAAAAATCATATTTTTAAGATAGAAATCTATTAAGAACAGTAAGTTAAAATAAAGCTATTAAAAATAAAGTAAAATAATTTAAAAGTGGAGAGTGCCGTGGAATGATTGCTTATGTGTGGAAGGGCAAGTAGGATGTCTGGTATATAAATGTAGATAAGTGATTATTTCAGAATTTGTATATTTCATTTTGGGACATAGATATATATATATATGTGTGTGTGTGTCAGTTATTTTCGCTGCTGATGGTAGGTTAACTCTTCCCTCAGGATTCAAAGTGGCTATTACAGAACATCCTGACCTGATTAAAAATATACGAGGGTGTTCCTTAAAAATAACAAACATCTTTTAGACTAAGAAATTACTTTTAAATAGCTTTAAAAGCTAAGAATATTTTAATCTCCTTTGAACTCCTCTTTGAAATGCAGACTAGGATAATATAGAAAATATTTTGCACTTTTAGAAGCATTAGAAATGAGTATTTAAATTACAAGAAAACTTCAGCTTAGCGGTTTTTAAACCAGTGTTAGATGTTTGAAGTAACTTCTTGCTTGTTTCTTTTTTTTTGGTCACTTATAAATAGTAATGACAAGCAGACACATACTGTGACTTCTGTAACCAAGCAAGTTGAAGAGCTGAGTACTAGTCTTAGCTCTAGGCCGTGCTGTGCTGCAGGAGAGCCAGCACCAGCACCAGGTCAGCAAATTGGGCAAATCACTGCTGGCAGTCCAGCCCGAAGGAAGAAAGCCTTATATGCAGGTAAGACTAAAATGAGCTGTAGTTTCTAGCAGATTTTGTTTGCTAACTTGAAAAAATTCTGTTAAAAATAGCAAAAAGCATCCCTCGTTGTAGGAATAAATGACACCTTTGATGACTGAAATAATAATTTTTCTGAAATTCTAACTTCTCTTAAATTTTATTTTCCAGGCGTCTTTCTCATTCAACCCAAACAGTCTGCTTATTTATGCTCCATCACAGGCCCTGCAATGAAAAATCAGCTGTTTTGACAGAATATTTAGAAAGCTCTGTGAACAGTTATTTTAACAGTAGATATTAAAACCCTGTCTCTTTTTATTCTAGATAAACACATCAGTGGCAGGAAAGAAGAGCTGATCCAAATTTCACAAGTTACAGCTTTACTTAAACTACCTTATTGTGGCCTTCCAGTATCTTAGGGGGGCCTACAAGAAAGCTGGGGAGGGACTTTTTAGGATCTCAAGTAACAACAGAACTAGAGGGAATGGGGCAAAGCTGGATGTGGGCAGATTCAGGCTGGATGTGAGGAAGAAGTTCTTCCCCATGAGAGTGGTGAGACCCTGGAATGGGTTGCCCAGGGTGGTGGTTGAGGCCCCATCCCTGGGGGTCTTTAAGGCCAGGCTGGATGAGGCTCTGGGCAGCCTGATCTAGTGGGAGGTGTCCCTGCTCATGGCAGAGGGGTTGGAACTGGGGGATCCTTGTGGTCCCTTCCAACCCTGACAGATTCTGATCTGTTTTGGCAGAGGACTTTGGAGCCCTGGTGGCTCGGTGGTTGGACTTGATGATCTTGGAGGTCCCTTCCAACCTAAATGATTCTATGATTCTATGATATTTCTCCTTATTACAGCTGTAACACTACATTTCTTTTTGAAGTATCTTTTGTAGGCAGTCTGAAAGCAAGTGTACCCAGCTGTTGTGAAAGAAGTTTTCATCCTTGGGAAAGTACAAATTAGTGCTGAAGTAATTTTGTGTGTTAGGGCTTGTGTAGGCACTCCCTTTGAAACTGGTAGTGGATACCAAAGAGGAACGCAGTAATCCCAGGCAGGTGTTTGAGCAGTAAGTTAGCTCATCCTTTCTTTCCCTTTCTACACCTGCAGAGCAAACGAAGACAAGTCTGCTGAGAATCCAGAGCCATAGTGTGAAATATAGAGAGGAAAGGCCAGAGGAAGGTACATCTCCTGAAAAAAAGAGCTCTTCTGTCAAAAAGAATGTGAAATGCACAACTGTTACCAAAGGCAAGTTGCTGGAACAGGAAGCTCTGGGCAGAGCAGACAATAACATTTCTCCTGCTGCATTTCTAACTAATGGGATCTCACTTGAGATAAAACTGTGCAGTCCTGCAGTACAAAGGGCTGGAAGGCAGCAGAGATGCAGAGAGCTGGACATGCAGGAGAATGTTGTGACAAGGTCCTTACAGCTGTGGCTGGACTCCTGCCAGTGCCCAGACTATATAGTTTACATCAACTTAGTTATGTCCACAGGATGCAGCAGCTCTAACACAGCAATGCCTTAAGCTGCTGAAAAGACATCACAGTTGGTTTCTTATCAACAGGATATATAGATTTTGAGAATCTTGTTACACAGTAATAGTTTGTTGTGATATGGTAATTTGTAGTTTTGTCCAGTGCTGAGGTTAAAGGTGAGAGTGGGGGTTCCATTTCTGTAGTATTGATGTGAAAGTAGGTTGTATTCATTAATATGCTTAGACTTGCAATAAACATGCTCTCTGGAACAGGCACATATGTAGAGGCAAAAATATTTCCAATGGAGCTTGGATATGCATCCAGAGAGTTTTAATTTCAGTAATTCGTGCAACTCTGAACTTTATGATAGGTCCTCTAAGTTGTTCAAAACCCTCACCTATAATACTTAAAGATACTTTTTTACAATTTTAGCATCTTATTTTTAGTTGTCTATATACCTTTTCTGTAGATTTCCATAGCAGCATACCCTCAATTAGCCACGCCTGGCCATCTCACTTGTGATAGTACTTGGTATCACATCTTGAACTGCAGAATAACTGATGAATATTTCCACTTGGGTTATAAAAAATAAATACATACAAAGTTCAAAATTTTTTTACACTGTGCTATGCCTGACCTATTTTATAAATTTTCTCATTCATTAATTAGGGCTCATGAGGCATATAGTAACAGTTACTATTGTTCAAGCACCAAGAAACACAAGAAACATAATTGTCATTGATTAATTTAACAATTGAAAGAGACATTATTGTGTAGTTTTTGTGTTACTGCTAGTAGGCTCAAATAAAAATATAACACTTTTATGTTATGTCAGCTTGTTTATGTATACTTCTATGTGCACAAAGCCTGTGAGATAATGAAATGAAAATGTTTTATCTTAGATCTGAAAATGCAGAAAGCTGTGAACAGGACATCTAAAAGGTATGTGTGTGCATATATAGATACATCACAAAAATTATAGTTTAAATTTTTCTTCATGAATTTCAGACTTTTGAAATGTGTTTCTACCTTGTGCTGGATCTTAAAGTCTCTGTTTTTCTAGTTCTCTGGATATCTCTTCTGCTCTTTGGTTAAAGACCCACGGCTTGGTTGCAAGGCGACTCACCATCATGGATGCCTTAGCTCCTACAGCTGTCCCTCACAGTACCAAATACATCCCAGTTCTGGACAAGCATGTAGCTTCTAAAGTATTTGATGAGGTAAAACTTTTACACTGTTTCAGAGCAAACATAGGACTTGGTAATGTTTTCAAAAGTTTTTTTGAATTAATTTCTATAAATATTATAAGTGCAGTCTCTAATACTTACTGTAGATAGATGATGTGCACTAAGTCTATAGGGCATATCTGAATGTCTGTTCATTCATGCATCCATAAGAAGATAAAACTGATAGCCAGTAGTGTTTCTTGCAGACTTTACCCTTAAGTTTTAGAGCTATGCATTTTTCTATCACAGTTACCAGTTGATGGCAGTGTGCAGCCATCAGGTGTTCAGCAATTTCTCGATCACCACAGCCTCTACTGGTACATATTAATTCACTTGAGTATGTATTTCAGGTCCATAAATTCATGTGGAAAGCTGTGCAGGTGCACAGTTAGTAGACTTGTGCATTCTCAAGGTTTACGTGTGTCCTTTCAGACCTTTTGAACAGTTTTGGAATTCAGTAATGAAAATTTAATTCTATGTGTAGGCAGTTGTGAGATTGTGCAAAATTCACAGCGAATTGTGTATCATGAAGCTCTAGTTGCCATTCCACCTAAAGGAAAACTGTTTTGTGGTGAGTTGCTTCCATTCTTCTTGTGTGATGCGTCCTGTGAAAGTCCTGTGAATCTGTTGCAGCTCATTTTAACTAGTAAAAAATGTTTCTTTAAACAATACTCAAAGAAAAATCTAAAAAGCATCTGTTTACATAACAAGAGGTGAGCAAGAGTTTTGTAACAGGATGTGATACAGAGCTAAATAAAATATTTATAGCAAATTTATACATTGGTAAATTTCAGAGTTTGTGTTTGTTTTTTAAATTTAGGAATGGGGATTTTTGCTATAGCATGCAGATTGTGGAAGGAAAACTAGATACTCTGTTCTAGTAAACCCAAGTTAAAACCAAGATCTCTAAGGATTTTTTTTAAGTGTGAGGTTCTTTTGGTATGCAATAACAAGATAGCTTCTTGTGTATCCTTTAATGCTTTCTATACATTTTAACACCTCAGATGTAAAATACAAATTTTTTTTTTCCAAAAAATTAGACTCCCAATGATTAAAAAACTGTACAAAACAATCTACTGTATGGGAAATGTCCAATAAAAGACATTGTGACTTTCATGTAACTCGTACATCTGATTTCAAAGCAGTAACTTCCCATCTTCTGCATACCCTTACTACATAAAGCTCTTTCTCACACGTTTCCAAATGAAGACTCCTCTGACTCCTTTCCAGAGAATCTTGAATTGCGTTTGAAGTGCAATTTGCAAAAACACTGCTCTGTAAAACAACAGTCTTTGAAAATAGATTCAGCAAGTGCTACATACAGGTGGTTTTTAATGGCAGTTCATGGGAGCTCAGGGTAGCCTAGTTCAGGGCTGAATGAAGTTCAGTGTTCTTAGAATGAACGGCTGCTCTACAGAATCCAAACAGTCATCTGTGGGCTTTCTTTAGATTCAGGGATATCAACACAAAATAATATGCCATTTTTACCACTTTTTGATACTTGCTAATGCTCATTAGTTTTATAGAGACACTTCAGTTTCTCAAACAGTGGAGAATTATTTTTCTGTGTGTAGAGGCATGGATTTCTCTGGATCTGAATCAGATACAGAAAGGAAGAAATAGGTTGGGGGCTGCACATGAGGAATTTATGAGCTATGGAAGCCATTCTCCCTCAAGCTTCATGCCAGCATATCAAGGAAAAGCAGAAAATAGATTCTGAGACTAGACTTAGAGGATGAACAGGAAACATTAACAAATTAAGAATCTTGATTATTCTGGTACATAAGAAGATTTCATTGAAGATAAGAAATGTACAGACGTATTTTCATTCTTTCTTCTGAGACCTTAGTTTTCTTGATGTGGAATGTAGACAACCTTGTTTGCTTTTCTGGGAATAGTATAATTTTTCTTTTGGGCCCTTGCTAGCAGGAGTAACTGCTGCTAGGTGTAACTATGGACAGTTTTCTCACCTTGGTGATGCAGGGAGCAAAAGGTTTCCATGACAACTGTTCATTAACTAGACACTGACCTGTTGCTTTGAGTTCTGTGTGACCTGTCAGTTTCACCTGAATTATTTCAGAGAGGTTAATTCATTAAATTACCCATCAGATTCATATCCAGAAACAAATAAATGGCCTGGGGGCTTTTCAAAATTATGCTGTTCTAACTCTGCAGCAAACCTGCCCCACAGAATCATGTGAGTATCTGTTGCAGATTGCAGCATCTTAAGTATGGCTTTGCAAGTCATGGAGCTTTGACTCAGTGCATTGCTGAAAAGAATCAGCTTCAGATTCAGCCAACAAAAACATCTTTCTTTGGTCTGAACCAAGAAAGACTTTTCTAAGGTTACTGTGCTTTGATTTTGTCTTTAAAATTTTGCAAGTTTGGTTTTGAAATAAAAGCCAATTTGAAGCGAGAATTATTTTGATATGAAAGTTCAAGTATTTAATATAAAGAATGACAAAACATTTTGGCACTCTAAAAGCTTCCCCGTGATTTCTTTCAGCTGAGTCTGTCAAATTTCACTTGGCTTCATGAGCAGTTCTCATTGCTTTCAAATTATGCATAATATTTCAAGTGTACTATTTGCTAAGAACACATTCTGTTCTGGTTTTACTTTTCAATACTGTAATCATATGTTTATGTTTGCCCCTCATATTCTATTCAAAGTGTTTTATAAACTATTAAATAATCATTTTGCAAATGATGCTGTTTGTACTTGGAGTTACTCTGGGAAATTGTAAGGGAATGCAGGAGAGGACTTCTACATGGTGAAGCCCAGCTGAACTTTTATTAACTTGGTTTCAGTAATGTAGCAGACAACAACTGAGGCACTATGGAACTGGAAGAGAGATCTTCTCAGTTCCTTGCCTTTCAGCTTTCTAACTGCACCTGCAAATGACAGGTAGCCAGGTTTCACAGCTCACAGTTCCGGGCAGAGATTTACCTCATCTGTCTCTGGCAAGGTGTTTCACTGACATGTTCACATGAACTTTAGCTTCTAAGTGATCTTAAGATTAATGTAATATTAGGAGCTTTGATGTGGTCTGGCATTGATGTGACACAGATTTATTGATTAGAGAAAAGATGTCCTTAGAAAGAGAAGGGCATAAAAAATCACAACACTGATCCTGAGAAGATGTTCACACAGCAGTAATTTGGAATCCAGGCAGGCTGTGATGATTCAAACACAAGTAAAACATCAGTAAAAAAGAAGGTGTTTTTTTTGTGGTTTTTTTTTTTTTTTTTTTCCCTGATGGCTTGTCTTATTCCCTCAAGAGGGGTTTTAGTTTTATTAAACTGAACCTCATGCATCTTTTTGTCATTTATATCCTGGTCTCAGACAGGCACTTGGAGAAAATTCCCACTCAACCATATGTGTTGTAGACAGTTTTGGAGGGTGACACTAACGGTCTCTGTCTTCTCCATTTTTTCATGGATTTTTATAATCATCACCATCATCAGGACATTGATATAGAAGGTAACTTTTCTTATATGAACTGCTGAGCAATTTAAGAAGTTGAAGGATGGTGAGACTGCAGACTGAAAGATGGGAAGGCATCTTTCCTCCTCACTGTTATCCCTTTCTATCCTTTTCTCTGCTTTTTGAAGATCTACTTGTAAGTGTATGACTTGCTGTTTTATAATGAGGTTGACTGACTTAGAAGCTGTATTATAAGATTTGAAAGGTATCAAAGTTCCAGATTCTGACCAACCTGGTTGGATTCCTATGCCTTATTGTAGTTAATTAAGACTAGTTTCAGTGAGCAATAGCTGCCTTGTTCACACTCTGGTGATCAGTGTGATGGTGAAAAATGTCTCTGTCCATCATTAGTACTCTAATTCCTTAGAAAATCCTGTCCTACAGAACAAGCATATTAAATATACATAAATAAGTAACTATGGCACCTGTATTCTGGAATTAGATGCTAGTAGGTATGAGGGCATTGTTTTAAAGCAATACAAACTGGAATGGTCATTATCATTATCTAGGCTTGTCTCCCTTCTGACCAACCCTTCAATTATTAGAGAGAGTTGTTTGACAGCACTGATTTAGTTAGAATTAACTGCTACTTATGAATCTTAATTTGCAACTTCTGCATAAAGGGATTGTGTCATTTCAAAAGATTTCATTAACAGGCTGGAAACTATGTCTTAATTCTGACATTTCTTATGGGTGCTCAGGTCTTTCTTTCTGCAGCCTTTCAGTGTTCTTTCTGGCTCTTCTGATCCTGTGACGTGGACTCATGGGCATTCAGTTATTCTGGTGGAGGAAATGTTGTATGATAAATGAAGTCTGTCTTTTGTTGTGTAATAGATATTGCCGTTGGCCCATGTTAGCAACGACAAGAAGCAGATCACTCTAATTAATCCTCAGGCAGTGAATCTTGATGCTTATAAAGAGAAGCTGGAACAAGCAATTAAATCCTATGAAAGGCAAGTCTAGTCTTTGGAAATGTATCATGTTTGCAGTCTTCAGATTTTTCTTATGTAGTGGGTATTTGCTCAGAAATACTTTCCTTAATAGTGGTAATTCAGCACATGGACATACTTTAATCCACCATCAATCTGTAGAGGAAGTGTTTATTTTCTTTTAAAATAATGAAAGATAATGCATAATGGAAAAGCAGTTAATAGTCAAGGAGATTATAAATAACATGTTGCTCTTATTATGTTTGTTCAATGACCAAAAAAAAAAATTGTTTTTCTGGAAATAAACTTCAAACAAATGATCCCTGAGCGGGAATCTCCCCGAAAGACACAGACTGCTAGCCAGACTTTTAACTTAAAATTAATCTCCTAAATCCATAGACTGGCATGTAAATTAGTGGCCTGCTTTTTGCTGCTAGCTGCCTAGCACCTAACTATGGATGCAAGAATATAACTGAGGCACCTACAAGATACTGACAATTGGGGGTTTGTTGTTTTTGTTTGTTTGTTTGTTTGTTTTTAAGAGAGATATTTGTTGTGCTTATTAATTAAATATTGGTAAAAGTAGGTCAGAAGTAAAAAGAGCCAAGACATCTTTAAGGTATTTATTTCCTTAATCTAACTTTGTGCCCTTTTTTGAAGTAATGCAGTTATTTGACTACTACTGTCATTCAGTAAGCTTATGACAGCTGTATCTAGAATTGTTTTAATAAGTAAGATAACTTCTCCAGGCTGTACAATAATAACATTTACAGATGTGATTATTTTATATAGCAAAAAAGTGCTTGATGACAAGTGGTTAGTCTTTGGGTTTTGAATTCCACTGAGACCCTTTAAGGTATATTTTACATCTGTAGCTCTGTGATCACACCAGTCCTTTTTAAAGCGAGTGCTAGCTCTGCTTTTTGTTCCCATTTTCTATTTCTAAATGTGTCCATCTTTTCTGGTAAAAACGAAGAATTGTGATTTGTGAATGCAGCTTGCTGTGTTTAATATTAATGGTATTCAGTGAATAAAAATCTATTGGGTTTGTGTGCTCTTTCACTGAGACAATACTGTTGCTATCAAGCTGCTGAAGAACTCGTAGAAATCTGCTTTTGTCACTCATTTTGACAGAAGAGTTAAGTGGCATATTTTTGATAGTGACTTCTGAAAAAAATCAGTTTTTTCATTGCTGTGCCATACCATTTCATATTGTACCTTTATTGACTTCAGTTTTGTGGGAAACAAAATTGTTTTCTGTTTAAACTCTGGTGGTCTTTTGCTGACAGCATTTGCACAGTCTCCCTAAAACTTTGATGATTGGGAGTACTGTTTACTTACATCTGCTCACCGAGGTCAATGAATCAGTGTATTCACAATAGCAGGATTGGTTCCCTGCTTCTGTGAAAAAGATGTAGAGGAGAGAGATCTGCCTGAAGAGCCTTAGAACTGACGATGTGAAAAAGAGTCCCCATTGCTTTTCCTCTACTTGTGAAACAGCAACCCAGTCAAATTTATTTTGCTCTAAATGCCACACTACTTTTCCAATAATTGAATTTGCAGAGGCTGCAGTTCAGCTTTGTGAATAGTGGTTGGTCACGAATTTATTGTACATCTGTATATGAGACAATACATCAGGGCACACAGATTTCAAGAACAGAAGCAAGCATGACAATATTTTCCCTATACATAGGCTGACCTTAGCATCAGATGTAGAGAGAGAAAAGTGGAGAGGGCAGAAACTTTGTGCTCTGGCAAAGAATACACAGTATTGAAGGAGAAAAATGCTGAAAGCTTCAAAATGTGTATGATCTTGTATAGCCAGAAGCTTTTACAAATGAGTTCATTATGAGTGTGCGCACATTTAGAAGTATGAAATAGGCAGTGGAGCGTGCTGAGACTGCAGATTGTGAATGAACAAAGTAATTTACATTCTAAAAAATGCTAGGGTTAGGTTCCTAGTAGATAATATGAGTCATTAAGGAATTCATACTGAAAATCTGGTGTTAATGAGCTTTTTTTGTACATGCACCAGTAAATATGGCTAGACTGTTGAAAGTCCAATGGTTGCAATCCGAATTTTTCCTAACAATGAATTTGTTCTTGTATTTCCAAAGGAAGTTTGGAAATTTTTCTTGGAATTACAGTAATTAGGATCATAGGTAGAGGTTTATTTCTATAGTGTGAAATGAAGCAATTGAGTGATGGCTTAATTGTTTGAGATGTTAATAGAGAAAACTGTAAGCTAGATGACCTAATAAGAGTTTGGAAATTATGTCTAACAAGCAAAAGCCGGAAGTTTAGTGGTGCTTTAAAAAGATCTCAGAACTGCATTGCTTTGGGACAATCACTTCTGTTTTCCTGTCAGTACTTTTTCTTTATAGCCAGGATTTAATTAAGTAGAAACCTGAATGGCACAACCAAATGGTTATATTAGCAGGGAAAAAAACCCACAAACTCACATTGCTCTTCACGTGTCTTCAGGCTACAGTTTTCTCAAACAACTGTTTAATTGGAGGAACTGTGCTTAGTTTAACTGGCATTTAATCTGTTTTGTTATTTGATTTCACCTGCTGGTGCTGAAGAGAACCATCCACAGATAATCTTGACAGGAAGCAGCAGTGATTGCCATTAATCCTTCTATGACCCTGAAATAGCCATGCTGCTACTTGATGGAGGATGCTGTGTTCCCGTCTACTCTAGCAGTTGATAATTTCATAGTTGAATGATAAGGATGCAATTTGATGATACATTGCTCTTGGAATACAAATCAGTGCAGATATCTTAAGAAACTGTGTTTATTTGCTAGTTTTGGGATGATCAAATGCACAAGGAACTGCATTCCCTCAAGAACTGCTTTGCTTTCTTTAATAGGCGCCTAAACCTAATTATTTGGAGAGCACTATCTCAGGAGGAAAGAGACAAGTAAGCTATTACCTTTTGGTTTTTTAACTTACCTTTGAAAGACTGGTATCAAGTATTCGATACATTTTTATCATTCTATCTGAAACCAACTGGTTTTGTTTTGAAATACTTTGCAACTATACCTTTCAAAAATGCAGCTGTGATATGGTGTAATATTAAGTTCTGGACCCCCTTGCAGTGCTTATTATTTTTGAAGGAAAGGACTTGCATGAACACGCTCTGTTCTTAACCAGTGTCAAGTGGCAGGGCCTTGGGAGGGCAGCATGTCATTCATTGCCTTTGGCATTAGGTTACCCTGTAAAGAGCACTTCAGTGGCTGGATTGTAGAGGTAATAAACACCTTTACAGCATGTGCTGGAACTGGATATCACACTGGAAGTTTGTACTACTTTAACTAGCTTATTACTGGATATTGATTTAGAAAACTAGTGGCTGTATAAACTGGATTAACATCAGTGAGGTTAGTGTCTGTCTGCTTTGGAGAATAAAGTGAAGATCAGTTAATGAAAACTGCATGGGAGTGAAATGTTCCAAGGAAGAAAAATGGGAATGAGAACTAGAATGCATTTAAGAAGATTTAATATAATGAGCAAAAAATACACAGTAATAGGGAGAACTAAAACCTCGTTCTGGTGCAGAGAGGAAGTGAAGGCTGTTAAACAAAAGAACTGCATATAATTAAGTAAAAGGAAATAGATGTCTGTTGATACACAATGAGTTGTAGAGTATAGAGATTTGAAAGGATGGTACCCAAAATATTTTATTGTTGCTAACATGTGGCTAATTAGGTATACAAGGGAAAAGTCCTAGCAATTGTACAACATGTTGCTAGAGGGCCATACTAAAATTGTTAATATTGGTACATAGAAATTGAAATATTTTATCTACTTCTAAATTTACAATTTGAATGATGATGTTCATGTATTACAAAAGAACAACAACATACTTTCAAAGTTAGGAATCTGTAAGAATAAAAAACCTCCACTGATTCAGTCACAGAGTCCTGAAATAATTGGTTGAGGAGCTTTCCAGTACACTAGTGTGTATTAAAGTGTTATCTCAGATACTAGGGAAATCCAGGTTTACTAGAGGAGTGGTAATATGCCTGAGTTAAAAATATTTAAGAGATCAGAATCAGGAGATAAGATAGCTTGCCATTGGTTATAAATTAATAAAGGATTAATGTAATAGAGAAAATATCTAGGTAAATAACTATATTGGTCAGGTTAATTTCAATACAAAGCAGTGCCTAGAGGAGCAGAGGTAAGCAGTGACAAAGAGTAGGGCAACGTGGTAGGCATCACCATGATTATATGTGTTGGTAAAACAGACACTTAAATACTCTCCTCAGTTCTAGGTTTTAAGACTCTTTAAATGTTGGCAAAGCTGTAGAGAAGAGCCACAAAAGAGCTCTTTAAATAGTTATTTTTTTGAGTTCTAAAAAGAAGTATGTTACTTCCAGTTGGAGATGTAAAGATTTCTGCCTGGTTTGGACTTTGGAGGGTCCTGTTTGGTTTTCACCAGTTCTTTAGTCTAGTGGACATTGACATAATCTGAGCCATGCATGGAAGCAAACTCCTGATCCCTGAGGGAAATTGGACAGGGCAGGGCTGACAGAGAAACAAACAGCTGGAGGGTGTTTCTTTTTATGTGATCAGTCAAGACTGATGTGGCAAATCGGGACTCAGCAGGTGTCTGGCACTGTTTTACCTTGTCTAGATGCTTGCCACTTCACCCTAGCTGCTGCTCCAGAGGGGCCAGGGATCTCTAAGTCATATATGCAAGTTCTTTATTGATGCCTCACATATTCTAGGACATCTAAAGTGGCACCAGACATCTGTGCTCAGACACTCAAACTTCCCTGTTGATGTCTTCCTGTGTGATATGGTTAAGCCAGATGTGATTAACTAACCACTACAGTAGCTGAATGAAACACAAGAACTTGTGGCACACAGAAGATAGATTGGATGAATCTAATGTTTTATTCTGCCTTTACACTTTGTGATTCTTTTTGTAAAGTCCTGCCAAAATTACAAATTTTGCTACTTGTGATTATTAATTTTTTAAAACTTTTTTTTAAGATTTAAAGAGGATGGGCCAGTCCAGTATATGCAGCATAAAGAAGCTTTGCTGGAGCTTTTAGAGAGTTTGGGATGGCCAATTTCCTATGAAGACGTAATATTGTTAGAAGATGAGATATTGACAGCATTAACATACTTACAACAAGCCTCTGATCTTCAGGAAGCTGTCAAAAATGAAACTGAAAAAAGCTCAGTATCACACATAAGCAACCACCAAAAGGTAACAGACTGGAAGGGATCTTTTTTCCTCCCCAGGTATTTCTCTTCAGTATGTGCTTCTGGGATCATTGTGTTTTGTGCTTATATCTGATAAAGTAGGAATTTAGCATAGTGCTATACAAGTGGGTAGAGGAAGGAAGGTAGTTAAAAAGAGAGCAAGCTATCAATGACTTTTTCAAAGGAACAGGGAAGTAGAATTTCTGAATCTTAGAGAGACACAGAAACTGAGCCTCTTGGAAACAAATCTGAGCAAATTATCTTTATCTCCTTTGCAACGACAACAGAGATATATATGGAAGAGCAAAACCAGATATGTTAAAGACCATTATGATACAAGATTTGTGGTTGGCTTAATATCTGATAAACAGGACTAAAAGATCTTGTAGTGTTAGAGTAATTCACTGTAATATTCCATTATATCTTTCTTGTAAGAGAAAAGATGGAGAGGAGAGGTGGGATTCAGCTTCATACTCGCCCACTAAAATTTGGCTGACCATAAAATGTAGGCATACATGAACAGATGGCTAATCTGTTAGTGCTGTGAATGGAGTCAGTGGCATCTGGAGCTCATCTTGAAGTGGACACCTGCTTTTGGTGAGCCCGAGCTCTCTCTTCGCTCCATTAAAATATGTCCCCCAGATGAACCTCTGATTTTTGTTTGGAATCCTATTGATAGTGAAATGTGGTATGGAAATACATGAACCAATAAGTATCAAAATAAGGCTAGTAAGTTATTTTAGGCTGCTCAACTGAAAGATAGAACATACTTTTCATTTTAGCTTTTTCTGTGGTGATATATAAGGTCAGAAAACATATATTAGATAACAATGTTGTGTTCTCCTGTTATTATTTTCAATCTTTCATAAAATTCTTGAAAATTAATTGATTCTACCTCAATGGTTTTACCTTCAGGCTGTGAGTATGAATTCTCAGGGAAATGAATTATAGATTTTTAAGTTTTTAAAAGCAATTTAATTTCCCTCAGTGGAAGGATTTATGTGTACACTATTGACACACTGGAATTCAAAGAACTTACCTCAGAAAAAAACAGACCATTTCTCTTATTCGCTGTCTTTTTTTTTTAATCTAAAAGCTTCATCAAAGCTTCCCAGCTTCTCTGGGAGTGATGTTGCCTCTGTAGAACTACTGTCTAGGTAGAGTAGAACTATGATAATATTGAAATCAGTTTTTTAGGAAGTGAATAAGAAAGAAAATATTTTCTCAGACTTCTGAGTTCTAATAAAGGATAAATAAAAACTAATATAAAATTAATCATAAAGCTCATATATTAATATATTCCTTTTATTGCCCATTGTTTTATATCACTGAGGGAGGGAAACTAGTGTTTGAACTTGAAGATATGGTTGGCCTAGTTGCAGTGGATGCTGGGGGAAGTCCTGTGCTTTCATTGTGTGGGAATCATAATCAAATGATCGTAATAGTTATATTTTGCCCTGATGTCTGTGTATACCAATATGTACAGGTATGTATATATACACACACACATATCACTTTGAAGAGGTAACCTAAGTGACACTCAAATGAGCACAGTACAAACCTATACTGGGAGTTCTCAGCAAGGAATGGCAATGTGCAATTGGATTTTACAACTGTACTTTTTATGCCAGGTGTCCATATTCTCTGCTTACCAGAGTACACCAAAAATCTTTTGGTTTCTTGACAGACCTCTCTTTTCACTGAGATCAGCAATAGTTTTCATGATGAGCTGTGGCCTTTTACATACTATGACTTAAGTTATAAAAGACTATTTGTGTTAGAATAGAATAGAATATGTTATGATGATGTAGGATGTGTATGAAAGTAAGTGATTATGGAAGGAATCACATTCAGTTTTCTGTAGTTTTGAGAAGGTTTTTTTCCATTAAGACTACATTCGCAAATGTTTTAATATAATCAAAAAACAGATGATCTTGATTCATTTTACATTAGTTTGAAAATATTACTCTGGTAATACAGCTTTTTTGATTATTGATTTACCTCTGCCATATAATATTCTGATAGAAGGGCAGCAGAAACACATTCATGTTTCAGTCGCTGACTGCAGTTTTACGTTGCCTTGGAACAGCCAATGTGTGCTCTCAGACATGAGGTGATTAACATTGTGCAATCACTTATCCCGAGTCAACCTGCTTTAGGAGCCTAATCAGAGCACCATCTTCAGTAATTGCTAATCTGCAACTGAAAGGCTGTAAGAGTGAGAGGCAGAAATGCAGATGTAATTAGAGTTCTGTTTGTGTGATGGAAAAAACAGTGGGGAAAAAAAATGGGGAGCCTTTTAAAAATGCTGTTGGAGTTTTTTCAAACGAGGATGTCTGTCTACAAAATGCATAGAAAAAAATAAACTGCCAGCTGAATGACATTACAGCAAGGAAGTAGCTGATGTGGCACTGAATGAAAAGTATCATTGTGAGATGGTAAAAAAAATCACAATTATCCTGGAGGCTTACTCAAGAAAGCAGAGTTCTAAATTTTCTGCTAAATATTTTTTTTCCACTAAATTAAAAATAAAACCCCCTTAGTTTTTAGCTTTTAAGTGTTCCTAATTACCTACATAACTTCTTAAAAGAATTAGTAATCCTTTTTGGATGTCCTTGCTACAGAGCTTTCTGTTTAAGCCTACAACTGAATTAATGGTCTGGTTATCCTCCCTCTGTGCTCTGACCTTCTCCGGGAGTTGTGTTCAGGCTGCTGTGTTTGCACATATCTCTGAAAGGTGGGGTATGGCACTGCTGCCTTGGAGGAGGGTGAAGGAGAAATCCATCTGCACAGGGCTGCGAGATGACTGAAGACCTCTGGTGATGCAAGAAGTAAATGCTTTGGGAAATGAGCAAACAGTTATTGTCAGGCAAAACACTGAACGTTGATGATTACCTCCTTGGAGGGGGAACTGTAGAATGTATTTTACTCCGTTTACTTGGTTCCTTTTGCTGTACAGATTAAAGCATGGGTTGACAGAAATCTTCCTCTTCAGGCTGGCACTCAGCTTTCACCTAAAGATATTAAAAATGAGGAATGTATTATTTATTTTTTTGCAATAAGTGACTGCTTTAACTTAAAATATTGCATCTGGTTTCTATTTTGAACTGTCAGGCATAACACTTAAACATCATTTCTTATGATTTCTTTTTTCTCACTGATTCATAAAGCTGTTTACAACATGATGTTCCCTAGTAAAAGGAACTGTTCAAGGTCCCCTACCCCACTTCTCATTAGACAGCCTCAGGTCTGCTGGGGTCATGGCATTACTATTCTGCAGGTGTGATAGCTTCCAGGGCAGCTTGGTGCATTCCAGTAATGGCTGTAACACTTTCATGTAAAGTTCTTATTTCCCCAGTGTTATAATATGGCCCTTGAGAGTGAAGGAGAACTTTTTCTCTCATACTAAATATTTCTGTTTCTGTATATGGATGGACTTCAGATTTTGCAGAGCAAAAAAGCTGCTTTCACTGTTAATGATTAACTCTCATCAAGAATATACTTTTTAAAGTGCTATGTTTCACTTGGGATGAACTGAAACATGCAAAGACTTACACTTATTTGTGACCCTGCTGAATGGTCTCCATGTGAATAAAAATAGCTTAAAATAGCTAACAAGCATAGTGTGTTCCATAAAGCATCTTTATTTGGGTGGAAAGGGACCTCTAGTGGTTCTTTGAGTCTGTTCTTTCTGAAAAATGTGTTTCATATACAATCGATGTAATTATTCCTAATACAATATTTATAGCTGAGGCTTGATTCTTTGAAAGAATGGAAATTCTGGATCACCCTTGGCAGTTTCTTCTATTTTGTGGTGTCCTATTTCTTACACTCCTCATTCTTCCTCACTGTTTAAGGATCATTAGTTGCCATCTGTTGATACCTTTTTTGCATTCATACATTTCTTAAACTGCTTGGCATCCCTTGCCTTTGTTCTTGTGTCTCTTTAGGGAGACAAGGGAAAACAAGCATCTCAAATAGCAACAGCAAAGAAGTTGTAACTGCCTAGAAATGTTTGGTCAAATTTTCCTTTGTCCTCAGTGGAGTAACCTGCTGGACAGACAGCTTGTAGCTACAAAAAGTTAGTCTCTTTAATAAAAATGGACTGTGGTCTACAGAAAGTGGGCTTTTTGCCACTGACAGCCTGGAAAAAGCAGTGGCTGCCCTGCTCTGGAGGTGTCAGGATTGTGAAAAGCCACGATCAGAGCGAAGATACATGGAGATCTGTGGATAGTCTTCCTATCCAGTCACACTTGTAGTGGGAAAGTGCAAAAACTAATCTCTGTGAAAGGGTATTAAAAAATGCAGCAGGTATTGTCAGAGGTTAACAGAGTCTCCTTCACCTCGTGTGGTTTAATGCATGCCTTCAACAGAAGCAGAGCTCAACAGGATGAAAATCCGTGAGAATTAGACAGCACCCTTTTGTAATAAAAATGCTGGAGAATGATATCCCAGAAATGGGCACTCAGTCTGTGTCTGGATCAATCACATGGAACACCTAAAAGCTGTGTGTGGCAGGAGAGGTGAATTTGAATTTAGAAAGTATTTCTGAGCCACCTGAATTCTGCAGGACTCGGCGTCTCCATTGTGAACGCCTGTATTTGGTATTTGGATTAATGAGGAGTGCTGGAAGTTGCCCAGATTATTAGTCAAGCATTACAAATTAGTTGATAATAAATATTCAGCAGCAGCTGTCCCTTTGAGCCTGAGGAATTAAGTAAATGGTTTACCCAAATACCGTTTTGTGCCTGTGGAGCTCTAAGTCTTTGCACTCAAATCAGCCGTTGTTGGGTTGTACTTCAAGCAGCCAGTTAAGCGCTGAGAAGAGCCTCTGGTTTAGACTGAGTTTGAAAAACAGAACTGTTGATATAATTTATATTCTGTACGGGTAAAAAAAGTAAACTAGAAAAAAACCCCAAACATCTCTTTTGAAATATCTCTTTGTCCTTTTTATGTGTGTTTTGCTTATTTTTATAATATTGTTTTAGGGTTGTGTTTTTTATGTGAAGATTGGAAAAAAGAGTTTGTGATAGTTACAGTGAAATCAAGAACAAAGACTTTAGTCAAAATTGCTCCCACCTTTTCATCATTATTGACTTAGGGAAAATCAAGCATAAAAATCAAATATATCTTTTTAAGAATAAAAGTGTGGTCCAGCAATGAAGCAGGTCATACACACTCTAGCAGACAGGGGAGTTTAGGAGTCTGTGACTTAATGGTTGTTTTTCAGAACAGTGTGTAGATCTGTGGAAGTTTGAGCTGTGTGTTTTTATGATGCAAAGTAACTGTATAGGAGATGGATGCTTGCAAATTGTTTACAAGGTAGGCTAATGAATGTGTTTTAAAAATTAATGGGGAAACTGCTTTACTTAACTTTGCACCTGCTGATAATTTATATTTAGAAACATTGTTGTGAGCAGTATGGAGAAAATAATAGAGTATTCCAAGAAATAATTTGCTATTGTTGAAGTAAATATAAACTATAGTGTTATTCCCGAGGATTATTAAAAGGTGCTTATAAAAATACTGAGATTACAGACTTTTCATTGTTAGAAAGTAAATGATTTTGTATCATCAGTTTTCTTAATTTTCTCAGGAAAGCAAAATGTAAAGTGTTCTTTCACATTCTGACATACCCACATAATACTCTGATCCTCTCAAAACTTCCTGGGAGACAGATGCCCTGAATGGGAAGAAATTATTCATTCAAGAAAAAGAGGGATTCAGGAATATCATTTACTTTAGAGGCAAATCACATCAAGACTCCATAAAAAGTGAATGTGAGCTATGAAAGGCTTTAAGGTAATGGTGACTGTAAAGTCAGAGACACAGAAGTTCAGAAATCCCAACAGTGTATTTCTACATAGAGCCACTTGTGATTTCTGAGTCTTTGGACTATTTCTCACAGCCTCCTGCCTCAGTTGTTTCGTGAGATCCATCATGCTTTTTGTATTTTTCATTCAGCTACTACTAATTGCAGTCACTGACTTCAGCTAGGAGTTGAGATGGTCCACAGCGAGCCCACCCCATTGGTGTTTCTGTTCTCACCATCTGGTGTGTGGTCCTCCAGACTTATTTATGAGCAATTCAGCAGTAAGCTCCAGTGTTCGGGGTGGCTGTGGGATGTTGCACAACCTGTAGTCTCAGGAGCTGTCCCCCAAAGAGCAGAATTACTGTATGAAGAACCCAAACTATCAAGGCAGAATGATGGGGCAGTGGCAGTTCTGGAAAATGTGGCATAATATTTTTCTAAGATGGAATATTTTAAAGCTGCTGAAAATTTAAGTTTTGAATTTATACTTTCACAGACACTTCAAGATTTTGTAAACATTTTTTGCATTCTATATTTTTTTAATCAGTTTTTACATACAGTGAGATAATGTTAATGAAAAAAAGATTGTAAAGATTAACCCATGTGGAAAAAAATGGATGTGTATAACACTTTCACTTATTCTGCAAAGTCAGTTTTATTTTTCTTTATCTCATCCTTGACTATGAATTGTACAACTTTGTAGACTTTTTTTCTGGGAAAATGGCAGCCAGAGACATAATTCATCAAGGTAAATTTCTGCCTGAACACTTGAAAAAGGGGATATCGTTATGACCATGTAAAAGAGGACTTTATAGTGAAACTTAGATTATCTTATCAATTAATTCTTCCTGTGACATCACTTCCTCTGTTGATAACTATTCTGAATGTTTAAAATAATTCAAATTTACTGTGAAACATCTGTAGAGGTCATAACATTACATTGGCTACGTTTTTAATGAATCCCAAAGGATAGATTGAGGGTGACTGGCTTAGGTGTTGTGGAAAAAATAATGCTGTCAAATTACAGAGACTTGAGGAAGAAACTGTGAAACCGAAGTCCAAGAACAAACAAAAAAGCCAAGTATTTGTAACTCACAAAAGCCAAAAGGTGATTGCAAGATCAGATGTCACAGGATTTTATTATCCAGGTATATATTTTTCTCCGCATTTTACATATTTTTTAGAGTTTCTTAATACTGATAAACCATTCATTTTGGTCATAATTAGCTACTTCTGCCTTAATTAGATACAATATTACATGTGCATATTCATGGAAAATGTATATATATCATGTGTGTGAAAGTATATACATTTTGTAAAGTTAGAAAGTAATGATACATTTCTAGAGGAACAGTACCAAAGAAAATCCTTTTACGTAACTGAGTACTGGAGAGTATCAGTGTATCCCTCTTTGATGTCTTCCTTGAATGTTGGTGTTTGAGTGTTTGGCAAAAGCTGAGCTTTTGCGTGTGTTCAAAGAATTCACTAAATGCTTCTGCCTTTTCAAGGAGTTTTCAGACAGGTAAAACTGTTCTGTTGTTTCATTTTTTTTAAAACAAAAAATCATGTGTGTATGTGTGTTTATTTTTGTGTTACCTTTGTTTGGTTTGGTTTTGTTTTTAAGTTATATATTTTTAGCTGTGGTAATAATTTCATTATGTTAACTATCATACACATGATCAACTCAAATTTCAGACCTGGGCTTGAAAACTATTCTTTCTTTTATTTTTAATGGCATTATTAAGAACAATTATTCAGAATGTTAGGTTAGTGGTTTTATTTATTTATTTTTTTAGTTTCAAATTTCTCTATTTACCCTAGCTAAATGAAAATGAAGAATGTGTAGTATAGACATGTTTGTCCTCAGTGATATGTGACAGCTTACGGGATATAAAAAAAATATTTCCACAGGAGATAAAAGAAAAATCATTTGAATGTTTTATTATGTTTTTTTTTAGGAACTGTGATAAAGAATATCAGTTCTACCTGTGCAGTTGTTGACTTCAGCAATGGGGAAACTTGTATTGTACCTGTGGAGCTCACTCTGCCTGTGGGAGGTGCTGTGCCATGCCCATATCTGCAGGTGAAAAACTAGCTTTTACATATGATTATTTTTTTTTTCCATTTGCTCACAGAGAGAATGAAGGGTAGATTTTAAAAAACCCTCACATTTAAATACATCTATTTATTGTAAAGAAAGTTTTTTAGTGATATTAATATCATGCTGTTTTCAGTGTGCTATTTTTCATTTGTTTGGAGCTTGTTTTCATTGTACTCCTATTCCTTTGTTTATTAGAAATCTATATTATTTTATTTCTAAAACATTAATATTTGCCCACCTTTAAGAGAAACAATATAATGGATACAGCTGATTTGAATACAAGAAGCATTTTTATAACTGCTTAATTACACTTAAAACTAGAGACATACTTTTTTTCTCTGTTTGAAATGAAGGCAAATCTTAATCTGGTAGTTCCTGGTATTCTTTAAGGGGAACATCCAGCTCTAGAGAGCTGCAGATTTTGACAGAAAATCATGACTTCTGTGTTCATTTTTTTAAAAACATTTTATATAAGTCATTTATATATGGAATTCTCTAAAATTCCCCAGGTTCATTTAAAAGCTTTTAAAAAACATAAATTTGTGCAAAGTCCAAAGGAATGAAGAGTTGGAGAGTTTCCTTCATTCACCCCAGCTTGCTAGTTGAGCTCTGATACATTTCATAGGGCTTCGTGTTCTTGATTCAGTGGAAATTGGGAATGATTGGTACATGCAAGGATCAGGTTCTTCCTTTCTTTTAAAGATCCATATTAAAGCATGGCAAACATGATGATTCGTGTAAAAATTTCTTAGTATTTACCTTTTATGTCTTGCAAAACTCACAAGTTACAGTTCTTGCAAACTGATGCAGGCTGGAGACTACGTGTTTGCCAGAACCAGGACACAGAGAGGAAGTGAATATTTTGTGCCTGCCATTGTCATAGCAACACCAGGGAGAGTGGAGATGGGTGACAAACTCTACACAGTTCTGACGTTCAACAACAGGAAAGTAAGTAAACCTAGAAGACGGTACCTGTTTGGCAGTGGTGTTACCATTGCTCCATTTTTGATGAGGCAGACGCAATTTTTTAGGCTAATGAGTCCCTGCCTCCAGCTAACTAAAGTCAATCAGATTTCAGGGCTCAATGAAGAGCTCGTGTAATAGACATAAACCAAGAAAATTCTGTAGGATAATTTATTCTTAAATCGTACTCTGTGCTTTCCTCTAGAATCCATTTGGTGGCTTTCACAAGCTACATGCTGCTAAAATGAGAAACATAGGGAGTTTTATCACAGTCAGTATAGTCTTCAATTAATTTAATCATGTCTGTTAGTTTGTAAGACATTATGATAATTTTACTGCATTTTTCACAGTGCATATTAAGAAAAGGTACTCTGTACTTGGCACTTTTTTCTTCATTATTTAGAGACTGATTATAGTTACATTAAAACAGTTGACTTCTTATGCATATATATATTTATTGTTTCTGAGATTTAGATTTTGATTAGATAAATGTTGACGGTGTTATTGCAGGAACACTGTGTAAGAAGTGAGCTTATTAAAATCAGCCAAATGAAGTATGACTTTTCCTGTCGGTACATTAAAATGGTGCAGATGATGGATTATATGATGTGAGTATGCTTGAGCCTTAAAAATATAAAAGTTTTTTACACAAATCTTAAACATTGCACTTTGAGTTCAACTGTGCTGTCAGTTTTCCATAAGTAGTACTCTAACTAGAGATGTTGTGGACTGGCTTGCTCTACACATGCAACCAAATGATTTGACCCAGGAGGGTGTCAATCAGAAGAGCATTAACTGTCTGCCTTACCATTTTATTATCTGGCAATTTGTTGCCCTATTTTCATTTTGGTAACATTGGTGACATGTGATAGTTTGAAGCTTAGACCCAGGAAGCTCTTAGAGGATTGCTGAAAGGTGAGACATAGTTTCAATTTGTTATAGACATTTTCTCTTTTAAGGTATTTATTGTGATATAAAGCTATGCATTAAATTATAAGTAGCTTGTAAGATACTGAATCTTCTATCAAGCATAAATCTGGGGAATGATGAGGAGAGAGCATGTAGGATGAATATGAGCCTCTACTTAAGTTCTGCACAACTTATGGAGAGCAGGGGTGACGTTCTGGGGTGAAGTGTGCACTGAAAGTGCAGCAGTTCCAAGTAATTGTTGATTACTTTTTTATCTCGTGTTAAATTCTAGTTTAATCCATTTGAAATATAATCGGATTGTGATAACCTGCAGAGCACCAACACACTCTGGCCATTAGCAACAACAAATCTTAGGAATGAGAATAAGATCAGAACAGTAATCTAGGGTTCTTTCTCCAGAATGCATTCCCAACCTCCAGCAATTTTTGATGAAAAAAGATGATTTTCCGAAGCAGAACTAGAGTCTTTGTATTAAACAGCTTCAGTGGAATTTTCTTCCACAAATTTGTGCAGTTACTTTTTTGAACCCATGTAAACCTTTGTCATCCGTAGCCTCTTCCCAGAAGGAGCTGCACAATTTCACATTTTGTATGAGAAAACATATGCTTTTGTTTTGGATCTCCTGTCTGCCTTAGGGGTTCTAGACTGAAGGGTTTCCTCTTCCGTTTATGTCAGCATAGCATGGGCACTGCTGCCAAAGAAGTGTATGATCATGTCATGGGAGACTTCTTCCCAAGAGGTTGCATGAACAGGACAAATCCCACCTTTAAAGGCAATCGTAGGAGTTTGTAATTTTAAAAGATTACATCAAAAAATGATAGGCAAGGGTACCAGTTGCAGCCTGATCAGTGGTTTCTCTGAGAACGATGGGACAAAAAAGCAACACTGATTCAAGCTCTGTTTCCCACACATCTTCTAGTAGTATTCCCAGCACAGTTTGAAACTCGGTCTTCTGCCAGCTTGCAGCCACAGCACATCAACAAATTAGTACCCCTGCTTTGCTGAGCAGCATTCTGAATCTGGAAATAGACTCATGCCTTTTTCCAGCCCAGATCATCTACACAACAGTAGCCTCCTTTTGCTGAAAAGTAAAACTGAAGACCATGTTTTCCTGCTTAATGCAAACAACCATTTGAAAAGAAACAGGTATATAACTGAGCTGAGTCCCAGCAAAATCAGTGGATGTCTTTCCCCTCCACTGAATTGAGTTGTGCTCTAAATGAGGTACATTATTAACAAAAGATGTAACTAAATGCATAAGCAATGTGTGGATTCCATTCTACATGCTATGTTTCACTACTGAGTGCTTTAATATCAAATTTAATATTCATTCTCCGAAGAGACTTTATGGGCAAGCTGGATTACCATTATTACATACTAATGATGAGAAAATGGGGTTATTCACTGGCAAATAGATGAATTATTTGGAGAACTGACTGAAATGAATGCACTAAATTTTTTTTGCAAATGAGAAATAAGCATACTTATTAGATCTACATTTTAGATGAAGTGATATCAAATATGGTAGATCTCTGGGTAAAAGAGTATGTGAAGTGCCATATTCAAGTCATATTAACTGGGAATTTCTATATAGTGTTTCCAGCTTGTAAACAGTGATTTGGTGGTAAATGCACTGGCCACTTTGCATAGCAGATGACTGAAATGAAATTAATGAAATGTGAATAAAATATTCCAAACAATATTCTTGCCACAGCACAAAATAATGGACCCTAAATTAAGGCATTCCTTTTATCCCCTTTAAACCATACTAAAACAAATTTTAAGTTAATTTCTGGACTGATTTTCCAGCCTGGACAGAGAGACTATAAAGCCTTACCCTCACTTATCTGTGGAAGATGAAGGAGAAGCAGCAAAGAAAAGTATTGTGAAAGAAGATGGGAAAAAGAAAAAGAAGAGGACAGCAGTAGACAAAAGACATCCCAGGGACAGGATGTTGGACTCTGATGATCTTTGCTTTGTCTCCAGAAGGGAAGTGAAACAGAGAGTAAGAAATTCACTGCCAAGCAATGAAGAAGATTTTGGAGGTAAAGAAGTAGCTCTGGAAAATTATAAATATTAGGGATTAAACAGATCTGATGGGCCTTCAGTTAATTCCCACACAAGGAATCAGGTTTCTGCATTTCTGGGTGTTAGACCAGTAAAGTACTTGGTGCTTTCCAAGTACTGTGTGATGAGGATCTTTCCCCTCCTTCGGAAAGCATTCTTCACACTGAGCATTCTCAGCATGTGTTTGCACAGCAGAGGGAAGAACTGAGTAAAGCATGTTCTGGCATATGCTACATTCATTTCCCCACCATTAACAGTAGCAGTGAAGGTGCAATAACACCAACCTTAGTTGTAAGCAGAGCAAGCAGAGTATGTTTTCCAGTCCCTCTACTGTTTGTTACTTGTTAGGTTAAGGGTCTGTCTGTATTGCGGGCATTAAATTATTGCATATGGAGCTCAGTGCTTCAGAGGTTAAACTACTTTTAGTGTCCAAGGTAGCCCTGTTAAAGCTGCTGTCTGTCTCTATACACCTGCCACTGCAGTGGAGACCTGGGCTAGTGTAGGTATGCCTTTATCTGCCCCAGTCAGCTCCTCATTTTAATGATCCTACTGTCAGTGGAAAGATAAGAGGATTTTTATCTATACTTGCTAGTTGTACATCCTTGTACTATTTTAAACATGTTTTCAACATCCTCATTAATTACTTACTTCCAGAAGTAGTGGATTATAGATTCACTCAATTATCACATTGTCAATCAACTTGATTTGGCTCGTCTGAATTTGCCTTCTATGTTGTCACTCGTCTTTAAAGGTTATCTTCAAATTCCATTTATATGGGTATTATGATGCTACTGCATTTTAGGAGTGGCCTGGTCAGAATTATATGAGAGCAGAGGTGCTGGGCTTGTCTTGTAGCTTTGTGAGAGACCACGGCTTCCACAGCTAGGGCTGCCTCACTGGAAATGCTCAGTTATCCCAGACTCCTTCCTCTGGGACATCTGGAGATACAGATGCTGAGTAAACATGAAATAACACTACCGTGATCAGCAAGGCCAGTTACTGATCCCGTGTGGGTTGAAGGAAAGAGTAAATGTGAGCAGTGGCTATCTGTGTGTGCACTTGAGTCCTGCCTAAGCTCACCTAATAATCTCAGAGTACTCTATCAAGACTCAAGACTTCAAGGTGGTATGCAGGTAGAGCATGCTAAAGAGGGTACCTTGTCCTCTTCTTATGACACCATGGACACTGAATATGTTTTTTTTTGTGCTTAAATGTGTTTTCATTTACATATCTTTCTCTCTTTTATCAGAAAGGGGAAAGTCAGAGAGCTGATGAAGATGTTAAATAAGACAATATGGTCAACCTCACAGGGCTTCATCAGATCTCTTTATACAATCTCTATATGTGATTGTGTATTTATCCTCTTTGGGTGTAGATATTTGTCCCATTTTCAGACTATGCTAATGATATAATGCGTTTTGTGTATATAATTTTGTAAATGCTACCAGATGTGTTACTTGACCCCTGACATGTACATCTATTTTAACTGTTTTAATACTGATTTCAATTTTAAAGACTGAAGAGAATAAAGGAAACAAATTTCCCTGGCATTGTTTTTTCATTCTGCCCACGGTTCAGGTCTAGTATGAACTATTAGTTTACACTTACTACTTGGCAGTCCAGGATGTGCTGAGCACCAGATCTGTGAGATTCACCTATGGGGGTTAACACTTATCCTCAGAAGTAATCATATTTAGTTAAATTGATATGAGTAAGTGTTGAATAACATGAATGAGGTGTTGGAAAATCAGCATCTCAAATAAATGTTTTGAATACAATACCAGTAATAGTTAAAGCTAATAACCTTGGTGGCTAAATACCTTTTGCAGTAGCTAAGTTGTACTTATGTTTTCAAAATTTCTAAAAGCAGTCTGTTGAACTGGGAGCTGGTTTATCTGAAAGATGTGTAACACTGCTGCATATTCTTTTCCTTGTAATATCCAATACCTGAAATATTTGGACAGCTTTTACCTTGCAGAAAAGCTCAATAGTCCTGATCTGTTTGGCTGAAGTAAAGGGTTTTTTCCTTTACTTTTACACACAATGGTTTTCCCTATGTGTGTAATGTGTGAAAAGCATTTAATGCCACCAGCAATTCCTACATTTTCTTTCCAAGGGTTTGTCCTGTCACTTGTTATGAACACTCCAGATACATACATATTTTTTTTAATAATCTGATTGGGCTGTGTTTTGTAACTACTCCATGTGTTCATCAATACTTCTCCCTTTGGTTCTGCTGACTTCGCATGTACATTCATCTGTTATATGAGCAATTAAGTTCCCCTGAACTTTAATGATCATTGCCCAATGTAGAGATGGATTTTTATGCTCTCTAAGATAATGTGAATTCAGCTGCAAGGCTTAATAGGTGGTTGATGAAGCCTTTTACTTCCAGAAAGTGTTATATTTCCACAGAGCTGTGGGTCCTGTATTAATTAATGGGGCATTTGGGAATGTTTGTGGTTTGATTTGTGCTCAGATGAAATATTCCTGGTTTTTAGGAGGAACAAACAGCCCATCCCAGTTGTTCCCACTCAGGGAAACAATGTTAACAGAAGTGAATAAAGATTAAGTAATTGTGTTAGTTATTTAGTGTATATTAGGTTCATTATTGTGTTGATGGGTAATTTTGTCTTACTTATTCCAGAACTATTGTATTTAAGACATTATTATTTTGATGTGCATGCTTGTTGCTCTTACTGTGCTGGTTACCCCTGTATGTTTGTAAGGGAGTGAATGAAATCCTGGCAGATTCCTGCTGACTGGTAGCAGTACAAGGATTCTTTGTCTAGGGAACTTGAATGATACTGTTTGTTTGAACAAGATCAAAAATACTTAACTCCATCATTGGTTATTGCATTAATTGTTTTTATAGATACTTTAGAAACCATTTATTGTTTTCCATAGAAAATTTCTTCTCCCTGTCTCTCTGATCTTCTCTCTGTTCTGTAATGCCAAAAATCAATGTTTGTTTCACATGATTTTCTCATTGATTTTCCAAAATGGCGGTGTAGTAAAAAGCAAAATCAGAAAACAATTCAGAGTGAAATACAGGTATGATACACAGTAACACCTGCACTGCCAGATGCATTAGCAAATCATAGCTAACAGAGCCCAAATGTTCTTTTTAATTTGTAATGAGATGTGACTTGTAGCAATTACACTGATAATTACTGTAACTGCCAGTGTAGCATGGGTTGGAGACCTTTGAAAATGATAATTTTCTGTCCTTTTCTGTGGCAAATGTAGTTCTTCTGAATTGGGTTCAAGAGTGTGACAGCTGTAGCACCTGGCAGTCTAGTGGATTTCCCACAGTAGGATTTCACATTTTAGCACCCACTTGTTTTCCAGTCTCATTTTCCAGATAGCTCATTCAGCAGTTGAAGGCCATCATAATAAAGCAGTGTTCCCATCTGTTGGTCATGGCTTGTTTAATAAGCAGTTGATGTCAGTTCAGCTGTGCTTGCATTTGTTACTTACTGCAGCTGTGTGCTGTTAAGAGTTCCCCAACAGCCTCCAGATTTTGCTTTTTTTTCAGTTGATAACATGTTACAACTTGGCCAGAGTGACTCTCTTGTTCTGTCATGGTTGCCTGCTCCTAGAAAAATGAAAACATGAAACTTTCCATCTCTTTCCCCATAAAGAATGAAACATGGAGATGTGCAAGGGAAGAAAGTGCAGTCCCACTGGTATAGGAGGCAGGTGTTGAGGTATGTGAAGGTGGAGAGGAAGGCAATTCTGACCAAATTCTGTGAGCAAGACCAAAATGGTTTCTTTCAACATCTTGGGAAGGTACATAGAGGACACGTGCAATGAGTAAAGAAAATAAACAGCTTGTGAATTGTGTGTGATGGGGAACACTCATTTAACAGTGCATCTTTCATTTTATTCAGGGTAGCATTATGGGCACAATACCTTTCAGTATTTTAGTCCAGACGTGTTTTTGTACTGCAGATGGATACTGTCAGCTTATAGGATACAGACAAGAAATTTCCTGACCCTCACACACGTGAACTCCAGACTCCTGTCTCTTAGGATGCCCAAGAAGAATCGGAATGTTTGTTTTGTGTATCTAAATGCTGATAACCAAAAAATCCCCCCTAAAGAAAAATATGAAGCAAAATAGAGTATATTATTTTGTTTGCTTTGTTTCTTCCTATTTTATTATCTCATTTTTCCTCCAGCTTCTGGTCTTTTGCCATTCATTCTTTATGATTGTCATTGTTTTGTGCCAGGAGCGTATGTAGTAGCTGGTGGTCTCATTTGATATGATTGTAAAAAGTGACTTTTCAGTGACATGGTATTGTTAATAGCAAACCAAAGAAGATAAGAATGGTTTGTACTGGGTCAGACAAAGGTCCATGTAGCCCAGACCCTGTCCCCAAGAGATGATGAACCCTGAGGAAGGGTAAGAACAAAAGTTGGCATGTGAATAACAACAGCTACACGCTTAAAAAATGAGTATACTTAAAAAGCAGACTGGTTTGAACTTGTGAAGGTGAAAGCAAAAAGGAAAGCAGTGAAAAGTCTCTCCACACAGGACTGTTGCTCTGTTACCATAGTCATGGAGTCATTTGTTTCATGATAAATATCAGGGTGTGTGTTGGGGGGGGTGTTGAACCCCCATTATAGACAAGCTCATGGTGGGTCAGTATTTTCTGTCACTAAGCAGTACTTGTTCTCTCCTAGCATCTTCATTCTCCATTTCATCACCCCGGCATTCATCAAGGCATCAAACGCTGCGGGTGCCGCGTGCTTCAGCTCCCAGCTCACCAGAAGACTGCTTGCACAGTGCTGCTGTAGAAAAACCTCTAGAGCCTGGTGAAAGCACCATCACTAGAATGATTCGAGTCAACATGGAGCAGCAAGAGTTGGCAAGGCAGCCTCAGCACCACTGTGCGGAGCAAAGGAAGCCACGTTAAGGGTGCATGATGAAGGAGCTTGTGAGGAATGGATGAGGTTGCAGATAGGAAAGAATTTTAGCACCTGTAACTGTGACATTTTATTCCTTGAATCAAAAATAAACTGCCTAGTTAATGCTGTTATTTATGTTTGCAGACTGACTTTGGAGGTATGAGAGAGAAAACTGTGAGAGATTCAGTTGTGCTGCTGAAAAGTGTCAATATAAGAAGAGAGAATGGAAAATTTTGTCAGGGTATCCTTTGTTTCAATAGACCTTTTTGGTCTGTTAGTTGTGGACCTTTCTTAAAAAATGCCTTTTTTTCCAAAACTACTTTTTCACAGACTCAGTTTGTAAAGCATCTGGGAAGACCTGCTGCAGGGAGCCTACCCAGTTTTCCACTGATTCTGACTTTTACATGTATTTGTCCTAAAGCTTTTCCACGTATTCCTATACATATTGGTAGTAAAGTGGGGACTGTCGCCACAGTCACAGAGAACACAGATGAGGTGCTTTGCTCTTGAAGACTAACCTCTTGGTAACACAGACTTAGACCAAGGGCTGAATTCTTCTCTGTGAGACTTGCTATAAAGCCAGTGCTACACTGAAGGCAGAGGAATTGCTTCAGTGTTATGGCATGATAAATGAAAGCAGGTATTGCATCTAGACACATTTAGGAGTATCTCTACTCTTAACTCCCAAATAATGGATAGATACAGTGAAACAAGCAAACAAACAAACAAAGATTCATTTTCCTCTAGCTAACAAATGTAATGTGATGTTTGCTGTCCAAGACATGGCATTTCAAGTGGCACTGTCTGGGGGGTGTAGCGTGTTTAGCACTGAAGGTCCTCACCTCAACCAGAGTATGACTTGTGGATGTGCTGGCACAATTGCATGGCTGTCTAGAGTGTTCTGGTGAGAAGCTGAAGATTGATTCTTAATATTTTTGAAATATCAAGGTGAATGGAGATTAAAGATTCTCATAAGCATGACTATAGTTGCCTACATGATTTTCAGGCAGATGTATATATTCATCATTATATTTGGAGTTGTATAGATACTCTTAACCATTCTCTTGGAGAATGGAGCTGGCACACACACATGGAGTCCATGGTTGTGAGGAGTCACAAGGGATCTACTCTACCTAGAGGAAAATTGGAGGTGATATCAGTATACCACAGCATTCATGAAATTTTAGGACAGGATAGCTGGAAAGAAATTTTTCTACTGTGGACAGGAACACTTTGGTTTTCTGGAGGAAATGGCACTACCAACGAATGGAAAAGTCCTATACATATTGGTAGTAAAGATAGCTAAATTAAGTCTGTTGAGATATAAATCTATTTTACCTCCAAGAACAGCTTTCAATCACATGAGCTTTGGAATCTACCTGCTGACATTTTAAGCAGAAAAAGATAGATCTCAGCTAGGCTAGTTCAGCATTGACATGCTCACCTCACCTATGTCTCTTGTGGTTGCTGTGTATTTCAGGCTGAACAGGCGTGACTCCAGTGATGTAAAGAAAAAGGTGTGGGGGCCAATTTTGCATGTACACACTGTTAAGTACATGTATGCCACCCCACAGTGACGAAGACTGGGATCCCCTTGCAAAAATGGCTAAAGAAAGCTTACCTTAGTTTTCCACTAAGGGCAGTACACAGCTGTGAGAAATACAAACAGGAATGCTGAGCAAGGGCAGGATCAAAACTGGCAGCACAGGTAATCTGAATGGTGAATTATTCCTCTGCATCAAGGGTGATCATCAATCACTGTTGGTTCTTTAGACAAGCTACGTTGAAAAAACCCGATTTATTATAGAAATATAGATGATGATGGATGAGTTTCCTTTTCACTTGTTATTAAGGATCCATTTCACCATTCCTTTCCTTATGTTCAGTCTGACCTCAAGAAGCACCTGTCATGGGGTAACATTTATTAATTTTCCCTCCTGCAACCCCCAAGACATTTTTCCTGCCTGACTTTGGTTAAATGTTATGTTGCATTGCTTTGCATTGAGCTCAGGAATTGTCAGGATGATTTATTCTTTTCATTTGAACATTCCTGTTGGTCCATTTGCACAGTGTGAGCTCTGTCCTGAGTCCCACACCATGCTGCAGATGTAAAGGAGGTAGTGTTTTCATATGCTTGCTTCTTTCCACTGATCTGCTTTAAATAGGCAAGTAGTATTACAGTACTTTGTCAACAAGATGATTTTCCAATTGGATCTGGCAGATGGCTGAGCTTGACCAGGATGACCCAATTTCAGGTTCTGGCAGAAGAGCATAACCAGATCACCAAATATCCAGGTTGCTGTTTCCTCACACTGCTTCATACAAAGTTGCCAGTGGTGGGTGTTAGGCTGCCTGGCTGGCTTTGGGACTGGCCAAGACTATGCTCAGACTTCTTCTTTGTGATTTTTTTCCAACTGCTATGATGGTACTTCTATTCACAGCCTTCCCCCCCCCCCCCCCCCCCCAATTTATTTTTGATAAAGAAAGATAGCCTACAAACCAAAGAAGCAAAAAAGGAAAAAATGTCATATTCACCCCCACCTGTATTTGTCACTCTGGATCAAGCTCTGTGCCCCAGGGGTTGGGACTCAGCCCTGGCATTCAGCATTACGTGCATTCAGTGGTGCTGTACAAGAAGGTGAAAATGAAATGCTTCATTCTGGGTTGCTTGGTTGAGCAAGAGAAAGGCATTGGAAGAGAACACTGCCAATTCGCTGTCATATTGGTAGTGTGGCCCTGAAAGTGAGTAAGGATAAAAGGGGAAATGAAAGTAAAGAGTTTTATGAGACCAGCGGATACAACTGAAGGAAGTGGGAAAGCGTTTGAGATTGAATTCCTTTAGGGAGTCATCAGTAATTAAGCTGTGAAACCATGAAATCAGATCAATGTCCTGTCTTCCAAGAAAAAGGGCAGCTTCTTGGAAAATGTTTCTGTAGCAAACTTTGACTCAATCTGAACAGGTATTCAAAGGACCTTTTTCTCCATGGCTATTTCCTTTCTTGCCTAGTGAGGACACGGCCAGTTTGACTGCTGTGTAAATGCAGCTGAGCTCCAAAGGGCACAGGTCATCTCCTTTTATGTTGCGTGTCTCCAGTAGAGAGGAAAGAAGGCCAAAGAGGGTTGGATATTTAGGACAGGAAATGCCATAGTTTTCAGGGAAGCTGATGAAACGTGTATTTTAGAACTTTTCCTTGGACTGCTCATGTCTTTTTCCTCTGGAAATAGCCTTCCATCTGGGGAGAAATTGTTATGGACAGGTATACAAGGTTTTCCAGGCAACCATTGTATGTTTCATCGTGAAAAGAAGTATTGTGATGTATTAAATGACTTCATTTGTCAAGGTGGTCTTTTTTTTGTTCCTAGAGCTTGCCTTTGGTCTCACTGATACATTTATTCACCTGCACCTGAGAGGTTCTTTTGTGATATTGTGTTGGGACTATTGTTCTCAGTTTCAGTAGTTTTAAAAAATAATTACTGTCATTGAAGTTCAGAGGGGTGGTTAAGGCAGAATTAGATAGAAGGCTTTTGATTTTAGGACTGTGGTTAATTCCAACACCTTTAGTTCCCCTGAGGTAATCTGTGAGTTTCAGGCTCAGCTGAGCTCTATAACTCAAGGCTAACCTGAACAGTCTGGCAGATCCTCATCCCTGGTTTTAATGTAAAGGTAGAGAACAGACCAGACATTCAAACCTGCACCCAAGTTTGTTCCCAGAAGGTTGGAAGCTCCAAGCAAACTCTCCCTAATCCTAGAATGTATTTGGAGATCACATCATGGCACATCTGAGTCCATATATAGATTATCTTTTTTTTTTTTCCTTTTTTTTTCCTCTCCTGTTTATCCTTTTTACCTTTCCCAGGCAGATTTCTCTTGCAAACAGCTTTGTCAGTGCCCTAAGTCAACCAGAAGCCAGGTGAAGGTGGGTACTGCAGCACTGAGCCTGCATGGATCAGCTCTGGTGATAAGCAGCCTGCACTGGTGTAAGGTCCACCCTGCACTCCTAGAGCTGCACAGCTGCTGGGGGCTCAGAGGTAAAGCAGAGCTTGGTACCTTCCACTTCAAACAAAAAATCCGGGCCAGCAGTAAGTAATAAATACTTGTGGATGGTGATGTCTGAATGCACAGAGTTCTCCTCAGATTAAATGACTGACATTATGTCCTCCTTGGGTTGTCCTGTCAGGATCTACTTGAAGCCACGGCTGGTGCAGGAGGAGGTGTAGCAGTGCCAGTACCGTGCCTGTGCTGCGGGTACTGCGCTGGCTGGAGCCAGGGAGGGTCTGTAGGAAGGAGCCATTTGGCCCTGGGGACATTACTGTCCCTCTTCGCTGGGATGAAGTGGGACTGTGTTTCCTAGGAACCTGAAGGGGGATTTGTGGTGGTGGATAGTGTCCTTAAATACCAGCAGTTTGTAGAATTACCAAACATCTTTGTC